CGCCGAGCGCAGGGCAGGTCGATTTGCGGCTTGCGAGAAGGTCGCGTGACCTTCGACTCCGACGGCGGCGGGTTGACGTGACCTTCGACCTCGACGGCGGCGGGGTGACCGGTGACCTGACCGCGGCGACGAGCGCTAACCGGCCCGCAGCGCGGCTGCCAGCTGCTGGAAGCGCGTCTGGTGACATGTGCGAACGCTGGTGACCATGTGCCCGCGCCGGACGCCCGCCCAGAGCGCTCACCAGGTGTGCATTCATCCCGCTGGTCACCCGCGAGGCTCGGAGGGACATGCTGGCACTCATCAGATTCTGCGGCTCCTGGTAAGCCTGCGGTCGTCGGGCGGAAGCTGGTTCGTCAGAGCGGCGGGAAGGAGTCTCTGGCGATGACGCCCGGGCAGCCACGGACGACGTCCCGTTCTGAATTGACGCGGAAGTGACAAGTACAGCTATCACCTCTCTGCGGGCAGCGTCCATTCGAAATGGCGCTTGGCCTGTGTTCGAATCGATCCACTCACGTAACCAGCCATTAGCGCGACGTCAAATCGCATCAGAGTGCGGCCGTTAGTTCGTTCCGGAAGGAGATTCATCAGCTCGATTCAAATGGAGGAGGAAGGAGATAAACATTTCCAATGTTGAGCTGCACTCAAGCTGTGTTGAAACTTCACGAAAATGGCTGCCACAGCCGGCGCCTATGATGGCATTGCACATTGCTCGCCGCGTCGCTGTGCTGACCATGGACCATTCGATTCCTCGCGACGCAGCATGTACTCAAACATACGCAATAATGTGCCCAGCACGCAGTCAGCATCTTACTCGGGAGGGGCGGGGCGATGTCACGTTTTCTCCGAATCACTGCGGATTAGGACTGAATTCCTGCGAAATCACTCAGGATCAAGTAAAAGCTTCTCGGCTCAGGGGGTGGTACGGCTGTTGTGGCCCCCTCCTTACCTTCGTCCCTGATGCGTACCAGTGCCAAATAAGCTTCCCACAGAAATTCTATCAGACAACTGTGGTTCCTTTTAACTGCCACCGTTGCGATCACTTGGCGTTCAGAGTGCTAGACGATTCATTCAACAACACCATGGTGGTTTTCCTGTACAGAACCCGGACCATGGTGTGCAATCTATGCATGATACGCCATTGCCAACTGCATACCGACAGCCAGAAACAGTCTCCTCAATTAGTAACTAATGCTGTGACAACAACAAAAAACTACCTGCTCCGTGGTATTTCAGCACGCCTTGAGCTAACGTGTCAAAATTACGTTGCATTCTCTTAGCTGGCAGATGACGATACAAAATATCTTTACTCTTTCCTTTTTATACTGCGTCTTCGATGAGTTGAAAACAGCACCGCATGCATCTGGCGTCGGTGTCGCCGGCTTGACGACATTTCAAGGGCAAGTTTATGGTCTTTGGGCTGCTCCAGGACATGTATGAAGGAACTTTCATTGAGAGGGTAAGCCCGGCGAACCGAAGTGGATGTGGGGAGGGGGAGGGGGGGGGGGGGTGGAGACGAGGGCTTGATCATTTCTTAATACGTGGAACTTTTGGAAGTGTTGTAAATATCCTCGTTTCTCTATATACATGCACGTTTCTTTCTCGTAGTGCACAATGTTTCCACCCAACTCATCCCTTCCATTCGGCCTGCAGGCTGTCCTGGTTCTTAAAGCTCTTCATGCGTTACGGCATCAATTCCAATGAGAAACAAAATTCCACGACTAGGCTTCCAATGGAGGCATTTTGGGGTCTGCGGAGGCATTTATCTGCTAGGTTTCTGTGTTTTCCAGCCTGTTTTGTACGGTGGCTTAGCGGACAGCTCATGGTCCCTTCCGTCTGGCAAGGCAGTACTGGAAATGCATGCATGCAACCAAGTGATTCGAAATGGTCACACGGCGTAGAAAACAAGGATTTATGTTCGCACAAGCTCACACGCATGCACACAATCCGTCACGCTAACTGAGCGTTTGTTGGCCCGATCACATTTCACTCAACCGCAGCCTTGCTGCGGCCAGTCACATGATGGGCTCCCTGTGTGCTGGTGCAACATTTTCAACATAAAAAGCAGAGTGGAGCGCAGTTAGTCGTGCCGTACAAACGCTGGGTGTAGGTGACTGCACAAATATTGTGCCTTTGTGTTTGTAATGCCGTTTACATGCTTTCCAATTGCGTGTGACGTCATTTCAATGTTCAAATGTGCCATCGCACTAATGAGCTTGGCTGATTCCAGAGATAGAAGCGCGCTGTTTTGTCCTGCTCACCTTACCACCTCCAATGCGCTCCGCACAATCTGAACCCGCACAGCTTCAAACAAGACACGTCATCTTACTAGTGAACTCAGCTGATTTCAGAGATAGAAGCACGCTGTTTTGTTCTGCTCACGGTGCTGTCTCCAGTGTGTTTAGCTTAATCTGAACATGCGCAGGTTCAAGCAAGATAGGATTTTTAACGCGTGAAACCATGGTCATGAACTTCTGAGGGTTGTGGTCACCGAAATAAAAGTATCTCAGACGTGAATTTCACATTCTAAAATGTCTCGCGCTTTGTCTGGATGCTAATCATTTCCGTTTCATGCTTAGGATAAGGCAGATCGTTCCATGTTACCAACTCCCTCTCAAGCACTTTATGGGCACATTCTCTCGGCATACGTTCTGGACTAGCTTACACTGTCTGGTGCGGGCTAAGCCGATGATGTTTGGCGTCGGGTTCCGCGGCCATAAACCTGAAGCTGCACACCCAATCTCGTGCACGATTCTCCCCCACGCGGCCTCGTGCTCTAACGGAAGTTAACGACCGCTCTCGAAGCACGGGCCCGCTGCAGTAGCCCATCGGCTGCGGCTGGACGCTCGGCCGTGTTTGGCCGCTCCTGCTCCGACTGGGGGCCGCCCCTCGGCCCGCGCGGACTCTCGACTGGGGCTGCCCCTGCTGGGGGAGTCCGCCGCGGGCCGGCTTCTGGCCGGGCATCAGGGTGCTGCTCCGCAGCCGCGCGGTGCGGCAGCTGCCCTCCGGAGCCGAAGCTGCCGGCCAGCTGGCCCGCCCGGCGGTGCTGCTCCGCATCCGCGCGGTGCGGCAGCTGCCCTCCGGAGCCGAGGCTGCCGGCCAGCTGGCCTGCCCGGCGGTGCTGCGTTAGCCGTTGATACTTCCGCCGTGATATAATTTGGTCGCCACGGCTTGGTTCCCTGGCTTATTTATGTCGAAGCGTGGATGTTTCTGGTCAGTGCTCTGGCGGTGGTGGTGGCGATCTCAGGCCTGGCGTCACCTCTATTGGGGTCAACATGGCTGATGATCTGTTGATCTTGATCCTCAACTTCACCGTTGCTGGTGCCACTTAGACACCCTGCCCCACATCTGCCTCGTCTTTGCCTCCCGAGCCGTTGCATTTGTTGGTCAAGCTTGCTTCCCTAATACTAAGCTCAAAGGCCCAGCCACCGCTTGATCCGCCATCATTGGTATCCGCATAACGAGCAATGCGCGAAGGAGCACAAGGCGAATAGTACGTGAATTTCCATGTGTACTTTAATCCTCGCACACATGGAAATAGAAGTCCAGAAACATTCAAGTTGCAGGCCTGTTCCTCATCGTGCACGCTACTGCCATCCCAAACCGTCTACCAACGGAAAGGTCGCCAGTCACTACGGTTGAACAGTGAACAGTTCACTGCGGCAGGAGCGTTGTCACGTAACGTCGCGGGTGGGCGAGCCTTGCCCAGCCAGCGGGTCGCAGAACCGAGACCGGGGTTGCGGGGGACGCGCGAACGACGGGAGCCGGCCGGCGCCCGCAGGGCCGTTTGGTCACGCCCAGGTTCGGAGGCTCACTTCCGAACGGTATACCCCCCCCCCTCCCCACCCCACCGCATCCGCATTTGGACGCCCTCTCCGCTACTTCAGCTCATGTCGTCAGGCACGGCGTCCGCCGCCGGCTAATGAGACGGCCTACTTAGTGAGTTCGATGCGTCCTCGGTGCTCCACAGCCGTCCATCACGGATGTATCACCACTGCGTCGTGCAGCAGCTGGTGGTGGCAGCGGCCTGGGGGGACGGTCCCTGCCGGGTTCCGCCTGCCTGTGACCTGGTACCTCTCAGTGGGTCGGTAGAGGTCGGCGGTCAGCGAGGTCGCGTGCTTCCATTCGGTGGGGCTGACCGGTGGCGTTTCCCTCACTCTCAGGTCAGGTCTCCGGTCTCAGGTCTCAGGTCACACTCAGGTCACGGTTGTTCTCCCGTACACGGCTGTCACCAGATGTCCTTCCATAATCAAGCACATCCGCTTCATTCACGGCAATTCGACCCGACGTGAAATATTGATATTGAACAAAGTAGAGGCCTGCGTGGTGTCCAACCGTGGCGTCATTGGTCATGTTTCATGCATACAGTCATTTATGGAGATCTGAAGGGACGAGGGGATACATTGATGGAAACATAACGTGACGGTGAAATCACGATGAAAAGAAAATGCACTAGCATGAGTGTGAGGCGCCAATAATTGGCACAAAAGGCGCCAAGTTTGTCTTACAAAACACGGAAAGACATACTTAAACGAACAAGACTTAAACGTGTATTTATCCGTACCCATCATGCCGCCTAAACGTCACCAAGTTTGCAAACTATAGTTCTTGCACTTCTGCTGCCAGGCCACAGCGAGATACCCAAGGCGGCTACCACGCTACAAACCACTTGTTTCCGGTTGGCGTTATGCTGATGTTGAGATAGCATGACCGCGCCGTGCAATGCTCAGACGGACGTCATTACACAGCAGGCATGATCACTGCGAGCCGGTTTCTGGAGCTGCGGGACGTTTGCTTCGAACTGCCCATTATGTGCAATCTAACTCAGAATCATTACGTTCATTGCGGCTGATCTCTGTGGTACTTTGCAGGGCCATAACCCATGCAGATTTATGGCCACTGTCCACGCGGTCGTTTAGCAACGATGCGCTGGATGACCAGTCACTTATCGTTGGAAATGATCATAACGTGCTGCTGAAAGTCGTTCATTTGTTCTGCTCCAGCGGCTTGGACAACGATCCGGACATACTGCCCGAGATTCAGGAGGAGACGTTCCGGATAAAGCCAGCAGATGGCAGTCTACACAGCCCTAAGTCTCAGGTAGGTGGCGCTTGCAATGTTGCCGTGCTGCGTTTCATGCCGTCTCATTTCTGGGATTTTCGAAGAGAGGAACTCCGTTTGAATGTTTGTTCTTAGATGGGACCGGCGTACATTTCCGTCAACGCCTTATATATACCTGTCAATACCTGCCCGTCCCGTGAGCTCAGCTGTTGAGCATGCCAGCTTTCCGATTCACCCGCTCCGAGTTGCTGTAGGCAATGTGCTATTTGCCCCCAACTGATATGACCTGCGGCCGAGGGCAGCGGGCTCGTTAAAGGTCCGGTGACGTCAGAGGGCAGGATCCTCCGTGTCGAGCCTTGAAACACGTCGGGCTTCACTCAGCATTATGTTGTTGACACCAAATTTTGGATCGGATCGTGGAATCAGCGCTCCTGCGATAAGCACTGCTTAGTGGGGGCGTTGATCTCAGAAATCCAGTCCATCAAGACGTTTAAACTCAAAATTTAGAAAAAAATTATCTTAATTGCACTAGGAGCGAATGATGCGAGTATCAAGCAAAGGTAGCATGCTGGTAATCAAACAAAGGTGACACAGAAAGTACAAAGTATCAGCAATAAAGGAGCGCATGTTTCCTATGTTGGTAGGTAAAAAAAAGTGACGTTCAGGGAAATGACAATGGCTTTGAACGAGGGGCAAGGGGAAACATCCATCCCTTTGGTGTAAAAACCGGGGCTGTGCCATGTTCTCTCCGACTTTTTTAAATCATTTTTTGCCCCCTTCAATGTTCTTACTAATAAAACCAACATGCTCCGTGTCATCCCTTACGCACTACCTTCCCTAGCTGTGCCTCTTCCCTTGCTTTTTTCCGTCCTCGCCTTGTCTCGCGCTTTGTTTTGTTTGCATCTTGCCTTGCTTTGTGTCGAAAAAATAATTTCGAGTCAAGTTGGAGTCGAATATGTGGATTCCTCTTACGTAAAAAGGCACGTTTTGAGATACATGTCCCATACTCATCTTCAGTGAAACTTAGTGGGGGAGAGTGGGGAGATTTGCATCAAATCTGCTCTGAGCCCCTTCCTGTTATCATTAGAGGATTAGACTAAGATTCGCATATCAGCAGGAACTTCTAACATTCAGCTTCACAGGTGGCGGTAAAGTTTTGGAGAGCACGTCATCATTTTTTGGCAAATGACTTTTGAATGACCTTCCTTCGGATGAGACAACCTACCGCACTCTGGGTCAAATTGTGTCACATTGTGGGAGAAATTGTTCGTATGTTTTTTTCATTTTACAATAAATTGCATCGTAAGCAAGCTGAATGCGCTACGACATGTAGACCAATTGCACTCGTCTATGCCATTTTGTAATCCATAGTGATCGCAACATGGCATATGCCTGCCCTTTCTTCCAATCAATGTTGTTTTTACGACTACCACCACCTCAGTTTCGGTTGTTCAGATGGAAATCATGGGTCTACATAGGTTATGTACTCGACAACTTTTTCGGGTTAACAGTAAGTCATGTCAACGATGTTAGTCAGCTATTGATAAAAAGTCAGTCAGTGTCATATTGTCGGCACATTGGATCACTGCTACAACATGCCTCACGCAAAACTAATGCAGCATGCGCCTACCGATATCTCGGAAAAATGTCATGCCATCGCGAAATCCATTGCAAGTAAGCACCGAACGTTTTGCAGTAAATATGACATACGTACCTCTCCACCATTTAGTATAGCATCTGCATTAGTCTAATTATGCCGTAAGCCCTTGAATAAACATTTCTGACGATCGTTTAAGTCTTCAACAATATGCAAACGAAGCTAATTTGTCGCTCTTACCCCAAGACAAGTGCACGCACGCGGCTGGAAGTCCACTGAAAGGTAGAGGGAGCTGCTGTGGGTCAGCTGAGTGGCTTAAGATTTCCATTCGTCGCATGGATTAGAAATGCAAGAAGTGATAAGGAAGTAGCACGCTTTGGAGCTGCCCGCTTTCCGGCTGTCTGTCGCTTAAAGTGTTTCCATATTGTGCGACCTCGTCCTGGAACCACCTGCCGCCGGCTGCTTTGACCTCCCGGAGCCGTGCTGCCCTCACATTCTAACTTGACCAATGTGAAATAGTTTGTTTTGTTTGTTTTTTTACTCTGCGGGCCCTTCTGAAGCTCTTGACGTGTCTTCATCGTCGTATCTTCGTTTTTATCACTCACTGACTCGAATAAAATATGAAGCCATACACATGGAACGATTCTTGGTAAATGCATGACATGATGACATAATGGCATAGATCCCCTGATACTACACGAGTGTGATACAGGTCACCTTCCTGGGTCTTTGGAGCCGCGCATGAAAAGTAACGGCGTAAATGCTGTATATGCCATCATAATTTATCAGACCATCCGTTGTTGGATGCTGGAAAGGGACAAATTTATAAACACGTTCTGGAGGTTTCGTCCGAACATTTTAATTAGATGGATGTCTGGGATTAGCGCCCACGCTAAGAAGTGTGTGTTGCGTGAACACTAACCGCACAGGTTGTAAAATTCCGGATCGACTACAAACATTTGAGGCGAAAACGTGTCGTAATGCTCGGTACGGCCCGTCCTGCCCTCTGAAGTCATCTGACCTTTAGCGCAACCATTCATTTTGATGCATCGTTCATAATCATACATTTAACGTCACAACAGACAGGCTCTTGGAGTTTTGTGTTCGTTATCACTGACACGGCTTGATGCGGTAGAGTGTAGCGTTGGTTAGGAATGCATGGGAACATCAACGAAATGCGGCACGTGAATTCAAATTTCCATTTTACACGGTTTTTAAAAGCCGCGCTCAGATCACGTTGTTGTTTTTAGCGTTTGCGGCCGATTTGTGCGTCATATTATTTGCCGGTGTTTGCTGGCCTAAGTTGTTTTATATTTTTCCAATGTAGAGCGTACCGGTTCACATTAAGATCATGGGCGACAAACCTCATGCATTTCCTTAAAAACTTATTCACACAAAAACATGACGTCGCAGCGTCCATGTGGACAGCTACTTTCCATTGATTTGTAGGGTACAGCTAAAACGAGTACTCTTCCGTCTTAGTGGGTTTGTGGGGCTTCGAATGATCGAGTAGCACCAATCACCGCTGTACAATCGCCGTGAACGCAAGTCATTGGTGGAGAAAGCAGATGACGTGCATTAACGAGTTATTGCACATCATTTGTAAGTCGCCGCTTGCAATTGTGCACAGAACTGCAGCACCTGCACAAATGTTTGCAACGTGTGTGGCGTGCCAAGTGACTTACATCGAAAGCAACCCTTAGTCCGGAGAGGAAATAATGTGTGATCGTGGTTTCAGATCAGTACGACTGAAACTAAAATTACACAACTCGCAGTAACACGCTAAGAAAAGCTTTCGGGGTTTCCGGCTTATGCCCATTTACCCCATTAACATTGTGCTGGATGCTGTGGCTTTTTTGTTTTGGCGCAACCAACATCGGTTTGAATAAAAGCTTTATAGTCGCATGAGCACCTTATACAGCCAGCGACGCATTTTACGGAATTTTCCATAAAAAGGTTACCAAAGTGCCTCCCCCGTTCAGCAATGGCAGAGAGAATCGACGCTGGTATTTAAACTTAAGGCTGCAAAGTATGCCACTTCTTTCTAGGATATGCGCTCGCGTAATATCTTAGATAATATATATATATATATATATATATATATATATATATATATATATATATATATATCTATCTATCTATCTATCTATCTATCTATCTATCTATCTATCTATCTATCTATCTATCTATATCTATATATATATATATATATATATATATATATATATATATCTATATCTATATATCTGTATATCTATATATCTATATATCTATATATATATATATATCTATCTATCTATATATATATATATATATATATATATATATATATATATATATATATATATATATATGCTACCGTTATCTGGTTAGTACTGATGCTCGTGTGGTTCACGTAGCGATTTCACGCGACTCTGGGAATTTAGTCTACAGCAGTGTCATGAACGACGGCTGACACCCCGCCCACACCCACACCCATGCTAGTTCAGGTGTTAACTGCAGTGTTTTGTTCTCATAACGCTGTATGTTTTGGGCGCAAACGAATGTCAGCATAATTAGGTCCCTGGGGCATTTTCCGGCCGAAAGCATGCGTCTCTTTTGGCTTTTCATCCAGGTTAGTATCTCTAAGCTTACAAGCTTGGTGCAGGACGCACCATGGTAGCTTGCGGTGAAATGAAATGGGCCCACGTTTGGAGTTCTTGCAAGTGTACGGAAGTGTGCTTTTGCGTAGGTTGTTATGTGCGTTTGCTTGGAGCATTGTGCACATAGATGGAGTAATCCGCGGTCCAAAGTCAAACCTCAAATGTTCATTTTTGGCCATTTTAAGTGTCTGAAGTCACTCGATTCGCTCCCTCATACTGAATTCAGTTATTGAAACCATTGGTTCAAATTTTCACAAACTTTTAGCCTTTTCCGTAGCTAAAACGTGTTAAAATTGCAGAAATGAGTTAGATGACCGAATTCAGCTTCAGAAGATCAATTGAATGACCCGAAAACGCGAAATGGCCAAAAATAAACATCTGGGGTTTTGCCTTTAGAAGGCAGCAATAGCTTCATTCCCCGAAGAAAAAAAAAACAGGAGAATGGAGATATGGATGCGTCGATATTTCGGCAGCATGCATTTATCGAAACTTATAGCAGAAGTGAATTCGAAATTGTCTGCTGGTGATCCTTTTTCTATTTTTCCAGTTTTTTTTTTAACACCGAGCCACGGTTTTTGCAAGTCATCAACCAACCTTCAGGGGATTAAACAAGGGGCGATTGCGAGCCATTGCAACGATACAGTAGCAATGGTTGGCATATGTGTATATATATATATATATATATATATATATATATATATATATATATGCATATACATATAGGGCTGGGGCGGGGGAATTCGTGCATATGCACATCCGTACTGTGATGCAATAGTGTTAAGTGAAAAACGCGTTTTTTC